ATTTTCACTTGAAGTGAAGTTTGCTTTTGCCACGGGAAGCTGGGTGCGACTGTTTTGTTTTGCCTTGTGTCAAACATCTCTGACCAAGGGGAGTGGGTGTGGGAACCCAGCGGAGACAAATTGGAGGGAATGTGTGAATGGTTATACGTGTGTGTGTGTGTGTGTGTGTGTGTGAAACAATAACCCGAGGCTCTCCAGTGATCACACTGATTCACTGCCCTCTCCTGCTGTACCCCCAGATACACACATTTTACAGCCACATTCCTTCCCTCCGAGGCCCGGCGGAGGCCCCGCAGCACGCCCGCCTCAATAGCAAAACACAGGAGGGGGTCAGGGGGCACACCATTACTCTGAGAGACAAATAGGCCGTCCAAATAAAACATGACACCCTGAACACGGGACCTGAATGCAAAACTGGACGACTGGCTGTGAACACACGTCTTATTCAACACCATCGTTCAGCTTGATCGTCCCTGTTCACAAGATTTCGCAATGGAATCAGACACCCTGCACTTTATTTGTTACCCTCCCATCACGATAACCTGCAGCTATTCCCTAATACGATCCAGCTCATGGTGTTACCAGTGTTTTTAAAAAGGCTTTTCTGGGCCCTGATACCATGAGAGCTTGCATCTTGTCTTGCCTCGTCAGCCTGGCTGCACTGACCTCCTGTTAAACGATGTCAAGCATTTTATGCCGTCTCGTAAAACGATGTGTTTCTAAGCAAACAAATTCATTGAGGCAGCACTGAGCGCCAGCTGTAAACGCAAGCAGGTCTGCGTCAGGGTGTGGGGACACTCGTGAGTGTTATGAACTGCAGGATGAGGGTGAAGGAGCTGCTGGTGGTGGGGTTGTTGGGGTTTCGGCCGCTCGCACGCTGCAGCTTTACTGTTTTACTCCTTCAGACCGATTAGCAGATGTACATAAAAACTCAACTGCTCATTTTAAGGTGTTTTGTGGCTGTTTTAATGAGGCAACTAAACAATGGACACTGTTTGGATCATCCTGCTCCCCACACACGTTGCTGCAGTGGGGCGGGTGATCTTCGCCTTGTAAAGAACCTCTGGGACAACTTTCGAAACAGTCTAAAACAATCATATGATTCACTCAGGCACTTGGTTGCTAAGGGCTTGTGTTGAAAACAATAGAGAGTCCACTCAGCAGCAGGAACCCGCTCACGACTTCCACTCCTTCACGACAAATCTGTCATCCAGTGAGCAACGTCTCTCAGACTGGCTGCAGCAACAACCCCTCGCCACTCTTCCTCCTTGTATGTGGGGAATGTTGCAGAAAACAGCAGGGAAAACAAAGTGTGTGCAGATATGTAGTTTGTGTTTGAGTGTAATAGCGACACAAAGAGTAGGGACCCAGCAAAACAGGAAGCACAGGCTGGCTTTTACATCGGAGGAATTTCCTGCCGGTAAGATGTGTATCGCTCTGTTTCTGCAGTTGGGCAAAGACGGAGAAGGGAAGAAGGAGGCAGGAAGGAAAGTTTGTTCTGTGAGCTTGAAAGGCAGGTTTCAGACGTGAGGTGAAGATCAAGAGAAGCCGATTCTTCTCAAAGTTATGGGCTCAGTTTTTCAGACACAACATCCCCCATCATTACCCCCAATTGCTTTGTTTTACAAGACTTTTTATCAACAGCTAAATAATAACAAGTCCGAAAGGAACTGGCAAACTGCCTCAAGGAACAAACAACAGTTGAATTCGGCTGATTGTTGTGACTGGTGACTCGTGTGTGTACAAACTATCAAGTTGCCTGTTGTGCCCTTTATTTGCTGTTTGTTCCCGAGTGGTAAAATTGTATTTATTCTTGCTACTTAAAAGGCCAACAGTTGCCTAACAGCAGCCATCAGCGTGTCTGCCCACCCTGCCCCCACGGAGCCCACCACTGTTTGTGCTACAAAGAGAAATGAGTTGGGTGGGGAGGAGACCGGTGGCTCTGGGATTAAGCTGCTTCCAGACATGCACTGAACTCCGAAGATCCTCCGCAGTTTCTCCGGAGGAGTGCGAACGCAAACGTCTGAGTGAGAGTCTCTGGAGTGTCTGCAGACTTTCTCTGCCTGGGCCCAGAGTGGAACGTCAGCAGAACGTTTTCAGAAGTCGATATGCGAATGCAGCAGGAGCTACTCTAAACTACGCTAATGTTGACAAGCTTTAATTAAATGAAATAAGTGAAAATGAGTGTGTGAATCAATTCTCTCATCTTACTCTCTGCAAGAAAGTGAATCATCAGTCCCCCCCCAAAATGTCTCAATGATTCCTATTAAATGCATTTGCAAATGGCCGACACCTGGAGCCAAGGCTGTTTAACTGACGCATAAAATGTAAACGTGTAAAGAAAGTGAAGAATCTGTGAGAGCTGTCATTCACACCTTCATATCTTGACATTACCGTGTGAAGATAATGTGGCCCTCAGCAAGTGCTATTAATAATTTGCCGCTCTGTATCAGAAAACATGCTCAGTAACCAAAGAGGGAGAGAGTGCATGTATGTATATATGTGTGTGTGTGTGTGTGTTTGCATGATATGACCGGTCTTGCAGAAGTGCCAATGTGTCAGGTCTATATTTAAAAAGGACCTAGAGTCCTGTGAAATTCTCTATAAGTGTTTTGCTGCACCTCAGATCTGTTGCCATAGCGGCTGAATGATGATGTCAAAGCAGAGGCATTACAAGAAATCCACACCCCCTGTTTTCAGCGGAAATTACGGTTGGAGCAAGATGGAAAATACTATTCAGTTCGCCAGCAGAACAAGCTCTGGCCTCACACACACCAAATATGCTTAACGCGACACACTCGTATGGGCGGACACCGGCCTGCAGTTTCAATTCCTGCTGGACGACACACACAAGAGAGTGAGGAGAGGGATTTAACAGTAGAAATATTTCTCCTGTCTCCTGGTCTGATCCTGTGAGAGGACGGACAGATAACAGCGGGTGGTTTGATAACACAAGAGCTGTGCCGTACTATTAGACAGACACAGAAGAAGACAGTGACTAAGAGCTGATGCCGCTCGCTCCCTCTGAATGACTTCATACATGAGATCACTGGTCTATATGTAGAGAAGATCAGGATATATTCCAGATTTGCAAAAAGTGTCAGGAACTCATTTTGATGTATCTATATTTACGACTCTCAGCGTTTGCAAATGACTGAAAACCAAAATCATAACTTCAGTGGGAAAGTTTGGACTCCAAATCATTTTGATGGCTCCATATAATCTGTCTGTCAACCACCAACTCTGGCCATCACTCATCTACAGTGTCATCCCGAGGACCTAAAAACAGCATGGGGCCCATCCAGGATTAGGGCTATGAACCACCGAGTGCCCCCGACAGCTGTGAACTGCCCCCCTCCTGCCTCCACACACTCTGGATCGCTCCCATCAGACTGGTAAAACTTCGCTCCCTTTGTCGGGGAACGCTTCGGACTGGATATAAATACGAGCAAGCACTTGACAGAGAGAGTTCATGTTGCTACTGCGACAGAGCCAAATTTGGCCCCTGTGTTCAATCCCAGAGGCCTCAAGTGAATCAGCTAAACCAACAGTCACTAATTCCAGCCAGTCTGGATAGGTTTATTAAAGGTCTCATTTCAGCGAGCAGTTGCTTTTCACGGCCTAACCACTTTCTCTGGTCTCGTGTGACTCAGAGGCAGGAGCACGAAAATCTTCCCACATCACCGCCGCCCCCCCCCAAGCACACATCGTGTGCCCGAATCAGATGTAATGCTGTAATTACATCGAAATACATATGGATCACACACTCAGCTCCAAGGGCGTGTGATGAAGGTATAATTAGTGTGGAGTTGTACAAATAAGTCGGTGCTTTGTTGTTCCACATTCGGGGGCGTTTATTTGAGGCGGAGGATATTCCTGGTGTCGTTAAAAAAAGATGCTGATGCAGAACATCACAAATACAAATACAAACACAGAACTCTGTTCTTATCATTATTGTTAGAATTATTAGTACCCACGCTAAGTAAGATATGTTTTCAACCCTGTCCGTTAGTTCATTGGTTTGTTTGCTTGTGAGGTTTCACCAATATAACTTCACAGATTTCCTTGGAACTCTGAGAGATGTTGTAATAAGGGAAGAACCCATACAATTTTTTTTTCTAACTTTGTCTAACATTGTGAAATAGGGCGTTTTTCAACATTTCTCCAGGGAATCATTCGTGGATCTTGATGAAAAAAAACTGATGAGTGTGTGAAATTTGGTGCAGCCGGTTTGGATGCAGTGACTGTTGGACCTTTGTGGACGTAGGCTTTGTGCTGTACTGCCATCCTAGTTATTATAGAAAAAGTTGGGGTTGGGGCTATCAGTGCCCACAAAGCACACACAAGCAGCACTTTTCACAACAGTTTGAATTCCTGACTTATCAGTGAAAACCTCAAGGAGAAGAGATCCACATGATTATCAGACCGTGGACATCAGAGGCTTTTATATCTATTGGTTGGACATGTGGAGATTCATTGAACTTTCCATCACCTATGAGGCTGCCCCCCCAACACCACTCATTCTCAGAAGGAGGGTCAAGATAACTGTGAGATAAACCCAAAAGCAGGGTTATGGATCCATTGTTTTCTTTTGGTTAATAATCTCAGTGTCGCAGATAAGAAATTGTTGGAAATCAAAACTGCAAATGTTCTTGCCTCGTGGGTAAACATAGACTCTGAGATAGTGGATGAGAAGAGCCCCTCTGCAAAGTTTTTTTTTTTTCCTTTAAGGGAATCACAGGCTCCTCCTCCTCTTCCAAACTTTGTCACGGCTGTGGGAACTCCCTGCTCCATGTATCATGATGAGGGGAGCAGAGGAGGCGTGCGCCCTGCGAGACGCACAGAGCGAGGGGCAGAGTGAGGACGCACAGAGGAGCTGACGGAGCATTAATGAGACACTGGCCAGAGTTACAGGGATGCAGTTGTAGTCTCACTCCTCCACTGTTCTCAGGCCTGATCTGTGGACTCCAGAGCGAGGACACGGGGACCTTTTGACATTTTTTTTTTTTTTTTACAAAGCAAACTTTTAGTGGATTACTTTATTCGCAGAAATGGGATTGGAACGGTTTTGCGCAAAGACGCCGAGGATGGTGCCGCGTCTCTCCCGCTCGCTCCTTTGTATCATCGGACTCTCACTCACCTTCTCTCCGCCTGCCTGCGAGGCGTTCAACTTGGACGTGGACAATCCAGCTGTTTACAGCGGACCTCCAGGGAGCTACTTCGGATATGCTGTTGACTTTTATTTGGCTGATTCTGCCAGGTGAGTTTCTTTTACGCACGACTAATGTAATGGTTCCTTGTAAAGAAGGGTCTTCATCAAGAAGAGGTTTGTTTATGGTTCCATCTGGGCTCCTCAGACCCGGTTGTACATACATGTAAAACTTTCCATTGGTTTAAATCGGAGGTTTATGCCAAACTGCAGAACATCTACAAATCCCCCTGTTAGAGTTCCAGAGCGAGTTTCCAATAGGAAAAGGACGCAGTACGTTCTGTGAGATGAATCTGGGTTTTGAGTATTGACTCTGCCTTTTGGACGCATTCTACACGCACAGTGAGTGTAACCCACTGTAATTGGATATATTGAGGTAATTACATTTACGTTCTAAATGACTCCTACGTCAAATCCTGAGTAATGCCAATATAAAAGAGTGTCTGTTTTCATCACAGTAAAGGAAGAACTCAAAGAAGGAGCAGAAGCTTTTGGAATGGCCCTCAAATCCTAATCCACTTTTCAAAATGACATAATTCTGACCTCTTAATCTTCCCTCGCTCGCCCCTTGACTGTAACCTACAGCAGTCCCATCTTACTGGGATGAAACGTTGCTGCTGATTGTGATGCTTCCTGGCTCAGTGGAGATGTGATCCCTGTAACACTCAGTACCACTACAATCCCAGCATTCTTCCTTAAGAGATTTTGGCACCAGTCAGTTGTTGGACTTTATATCATGCGTGACATGCCTGTGGTCAGGTCTAATACCCCGGCAGTCTGAGGAGAATATAATAGTGTCGGACATGTTGACTGTCCTGGGAGCATGTTGTCTTTGTGTGAGCTTGGATACAGTGAAAAAGCAAAGCATGGGTTAACTCAGTCACTGACAGATTTGCATTTGTGTTGCTACCCATTCTGTAGCCTCTGGTGGGCCGTGGACCCAACCCTGTAATCGTAATAATCATTAAGAAAAGGTTATGCAGCCGCAGTCAAGGTTTCACTCAGACACGATCAGACTTCCTGGCTGAGGCCGTGTCTGCCGAGCACTAACGGTGTCTCGGCCCACCAGTTTAACCAGCCAGCATGCTGGGATTTGAGAAAGGGCTTTGTGCCGAGTGGGCCGCCAGCAGCAGCTCTAGTTTCCCCTGCTTCTCCTCCCTACTTCCCTGGATGACAGACTCTCAGACATGGGGAGATTTCCCCCCCTCTTCCCCCTGGCCCCCCGACTGTCTCTTTAAAAGCCTGCAGCTATTGCTCTTCATGTCTCTGCCTGAGAAGCAGGGCCTTCAGGAGAGAGCAGCATGATTTAGTACGTGAGGCTCGTATGCATGGACCCCACTTTTCTCTCCAACGTCCCCCTCCTCACTTCCTCCTGTGCTGATGTCATTCTGCAGAGCTTTTTAATTCATCAACCACCGCCTCCCCCACTACCCCATCATCTCTCTTTGTCCCATTAAGCATGAGACAGAGTGGACGTCATCTTACTAATGACATAATGTGAACTTTTCTACACTTACACAGGAGGAGATGAGATAATGGTTTGTATGTGCAGAGCAGGAACGGCGTCTAAGTGTAGCTTCCTACAGCCCGGCGCCCTGTAATTTCCCTGTGGATGATATGTATTCAAAAGTCAAATGTCAAACAAAACAAAGTATGAGAGAGCAGAGTCAAGAAGGTGAATCATGGTTTTATCTGCACACCACATGTACGTGACACTTTTCATCCACAGCTTCTTAGAAAACACATCAGTGGAGTCCTGAGATGAGTTTCTGTTATCTGTGGGATTTACCGTCACATCATCATGACCTGCGCTTCAGAGACATTAATGGGGAGGTGGGGGAGTAGCTGGAATCCCGGGGTGAGGTCAGTTGAGGGAGTTTATGAGCTGCTGTGAGCTTGGCTCCGACCCCATGAGTAAAAACACTGTTGTCTAGATCACAGGTTAGACCGCAGTGTTGTTTTACAGAAATGAGACTGATGATAGATATAGACGGGGAGACAAGGGAGGAAAATACGTCTCCCATCCATAAATGGCTCTGCCTACAAACACAAAGGTTCACTCTCTCTCTCGCCTTGACGTTTATCTCTGACAACTGAAAGTTTGTATGTGTGGGTCTGTCATGCCCTTCGGCCTGGCGTAATAAAATTAAGTTTGGACACTGGCAGGCGGCCCACCATGGAAGAACGCCTGAGGATAGTGTCTGTGAACCGTGTGACGGCCCTTGTCAGAAGCACACAGGAAGGGCAAGAGGATATAAATGGTCCCCTCTTGTGTGTGTATGTTATTCCACATTGAGAGACGATGAGCTGCTTTGAGTCAATAGTCACTCACACCCTCCTCTGCGTCAAGGGGAGAGCTCACCCTGCCTTCAAACGCCGACTGACTCTGCTTTGACTTTCTCCGGTGCCAGGCAGGGATGAGGGAGTGGATCATACCGAGATAGAAAGGGTCAAAGGTCAGGGGCTGTAAATAATAACAGACCTCGCCTGGTGTGCATGAGAGGATGAGACAGCCTCTGGAAAGTGAAGGTGGTGAAATATGATGAAAAGTTTTTTGTTGAAACTTACATTTAAACACCCTTTTGACTTTTCTGGCATCATTCAAATCTAATGTGAAACAACGGAGGATGGTCTGATGGAGAAAGTTACAAGTTCCAGTCCACGCCTCCATGTCTTTGACCGACGTGTCACTGATGTGCATTAGCTCACGGATGGTTGGGCCATGACGAGCACATGCTGAGGTCAGCCGGTCCATGTAGGTCACTCTCCTGAAGTTTACCCTCTCAAACAGGGTTAGGGTTGAACTAATATTGACATTGGACTGGGGTCTCCTTTGGCCACTAAAGCGGTCGTGTTTTCTCTGTGTCAACACCGAGGTCCCTCTCCATATAAGATCAGTCTCATTTCTGTTATTGTTTTCATTGGTGTCCTTTTCTTGTCTCCTTTTTCTAAATCAGACCACTGAAGTGTTGGAGCTGTAGGAGAGCAGCTCGTGTATTTGGCCGAACTTTGCTTAATCCAGGTTCTTGTATATGCGAGCAGACAACAGGGCCCTTTGTCTGATTGTTGACTGTCTTTAATTGGAGGAACTTCAAGTTAGATTAGTTTCTTTCGGAATTTATTGGCTTGTGAAAGGCTGCTTTAATCTTATGTTGTCAAACATTGTGTTCAGCCGTGATGAGTCAGAGTAGGTTGGGAACATTAGTCTCTGTTGCTGTAACGGTCAGTGGCTAAACTGCGTCAGTCTCAAACTCGGACTGCCTGTCTAGCTGTTGCTGGTTTTAAATAAAGAGTCTGTGTGTGTTGTGCTTAAAAAAGATGTCAGGTTGGATGGTGACAGTGTGTTTAAAGGGCTTGTGAACCCTGCTGTCACCTCAGTGCAGTACTGGGTCGGGAATGCCCACAGGACGTCATGTCTACTTTGGAATGGAGTGGTCCGTCGGTCAGGGTCGTCCTGACTCATGCTTTGCTAGATTTAATCTATGACTGCCAGAAGGCCTGGTTTGCTTTAACCCCAGGTCAGAAAATGACTCACATCCACGGTAACCTGATAAAGGCTTTTCTTTATACGGCAGTAAGCGTATGACGCCACGGACCAGTGGCGCTCAACTGGCTGACATTCAAATTTGCATCAGTTCTCATATTTGAGATGGAAATAAGATGTAACGTCCATGAATGTGTGTTTGTATGCATGCTTGTGTGGGTGCGGCTGGGAGTTCTGGGTGCGCGGACAAAGCGTTTCAACAGCTGCTTCAACCCCCCACCACCACACTTAGTACAACGGCCTCTCTATACGGAGGTGAGAGGACCGGACCCCCTGACGTGGGCATTGTGGAGAGAGGTGTGAACCACCGGCAGTTAAACTCCCTGCAGGAGGATTTCAGGGAGGCTGGAGTGTGAAGGGGTGGGGGAGAAATTCTGTATGAGAAAACACATAGGTACAAGTCATTGATGTATTTATTTTACATGTGAAATGCTCTTTTTGGTTTTTAAAAGCTGCTGCTGGTTTTCACACATTAACTGTAAAACATGCAATGATACAATACACTTATAAAAGGATTGTTAACTTGCTGAAAGTTTGGAAAAACTATCATTGCGGAATCTGCAGGGTGTTTGCTTTGTAATTCTTTTACCAAACTCCGAACCCCAAGCTGCAGACACACGTAACATTGTCGCGTCTAAACTGTGTGACAGTAATTAACATTATTCGGCGATCTAGGCTCGCAGCACTTTTGGTTTGCAAGCCACCTGTTGCCCTAACACTAGATACTAAGGAAAATTAGATTTATATTAGATTCAACGATTCATCTGCTGGTTGATGCTGATTCAAATCTCAGTGGCTCCTTTTAAAGCTCATCCTGACATGTGGGAATTCAAATCCATAAATTGTCTCGGAGACACGTGACTTGCTCCAGGCCTGAAGAGCAACATATACAGATCCTTCTCTGTGACATACAGTACCATCTGAAAATGTGGCTTCAGCTCAGCACAGTAGACCGTCTGTAGTCAGCACACGCCATCCCAGCAGGCACTGCTACTCTCATCATCTTCAGTCTCCTGGACAGCAGCAAAGAGAACACGTGTGTGTGTGTGTGTGTGTGTGTGAGTAGACAAGCGTCCATATGGCAGCCGTAAGGAACAGCTCCTGTCTGGCCTTGGCTCTGAGAGGACGTGTGACTGTCGGTGTGGCTCCATGTGGTCTAGAATAAGTCATCACATACCACTTGCACTCCTTATTTCTGTCTTTCAGCTGATCTCACTCTAAGTGCCCACGCAGGCTTTGAAAAGTCAATATCGCTGCTGTTGGATGATGTCACCCTGCAGCATCAAGCGGCCATTAATTTGCTGAACATGTCAAATAACTGTTCAGCTCCATATTTCCACTCTCAGCGATCCAGGTGTCATTAAATTTTGTTGGTTAAGTGATTCCTCAGAGTCAAACTGGGGGGAGGGATGTACTTCGCTTTATTCTGGCTTCCTCCCTTCGTCTTTCTTCTGCAGGAACGGGAGCGGTGAAGGTCAAGAGCTGCCTGTGGCTCCTATCAGGTCACTGCATCCGAGTTCCTTTTACTGATATGGAACCACTTCATTGTTTAAGCATGTGTTGATAGCTCAGTGTAAACTCCATGGGTCAGCGTGCATGTTTAACTAAGGTGCTGCGGAGGATTGACGGCCACTGCTCAGTTTTTCCCCCCAGTCGTTCCCCCTGTGCCATATCGTTCGTTGAGCCGTGTTTACGACTGCAGATGGTGACTGTAGCCAACACTGGCAGGCTTAACAAATGTGCGTGTGATTTTTTTTTTCCCCCCTCTTTCTAGCGTGAAGCATTTATAATAGTGTTCAAGTGACATCAGCTTTTGCAGCTGGGTGGAAGACAATTAAATGTGGAATGGGGGCGTCGAGGGAGTGGTGTGTGTGGGTATGAACAGGAGGGGGTAACAGAAGAATTTGCCCTCTGACAGCCCCCTCCTGTAACCTCATCATAAACTGTATTAGCCTTGGCTGCTCAACATAGCCTCACATCAGCAAGTTCCAGTGCTCTGCATCGCCCCCAATTTCTCAAGCCCACATAAAATATGGTCAGAGTCTGGTAATTATGGTGCGCTGAGGGATTTTCGTCCTCTTGATTGCTTGAGCTTCAAATAAGAAGAAAAACCCCAGTCCTCCACTCTTGTTTTCACATTCCTCACTTGCAGCCCAAGTCACTTACTGTAGCTTAATTAATGTTTAATTGTGAGCCGGGTGGTGGAGGTCATTAGTGGCTGCCGAACGGCAGCTGGTGGGGTCGAGTGTGCGAGACATGGTGAAGCCACTAATGCTTTTCATACCCCAACTCCCCCTCCATAAGGATATTGCTCAAGTGTCTTGTGTAATGCAGTTGCTATTTGTCCATTGCAACATGACAACCGAGCCCAAGCAGCCAAAACATTTCAGTGAGCAGCGCTGATGTATTGAGAAAAGTGTGTTTTTGTTTGAAAAAACTAAAACAATCTTTGGCTTTGTCTTCATATAAGTTTGAATTCCCGTCCATGCTAACAGGCCTGAAAAATGCACAACACGTGACCCCTCACATACACTAGACATGCTGGTGCACACAGGAATTGCAGTTGCATCATTGTAAAATGCAGAATTTAACAGTACTACAGCTGTTAGCCAAGACAACAGGGTCAGCAATGCTTGTAATTTAGTATTCACATTGTGTTTCCAAACTTCCCTGTTTCAGTGGTTCTGACGGCAGAGCTGCTACAAGCAGCAGAATCTATGTGTTTTCAAGTGTATGCAGTTTTACAGATGTAGAAGATGATTGGTATGATTCTCCTGTAGCCAAAACATTTCAGTGAGCAGCACAGTAGTATTGAGTAAAGTGTCTGAGAGTATGAGAAGTGGTTTCCAGTCCTTTCCATATTCACTCTGAGCTACATCTGTCAGCAAGGCTTTCCTTATCCCCGCCGTGATCCCTATCAAACCTGCGATGGTGCTGATTTCACTCCCACCATCAACAGTCTTTTGTCTAGGGACCCACTTGATTCTCGACCCGATGAGCATGTCTGTCCTTCAGCCCAACAGCTGAGAATTTCTCACCCCCTTCTAATTACATATATTTGCATACCCAGCCCTGGAGGCCTTACTTTTACAAAGGAATTTGTTGTGCAGCACTCAGTCGACTGCAGTTAAAGCTTCATTAAATGCTAATGATACAAAAGCTCTACCTTTTCAATGCACGGCCAGCAGATAAGGGGAAGGGGAGGGGGGGAATTGCCAGCTAGAACTCGACTGATCCTCACCAGATAGAGACCCATTAAATGCTAATTCCTCCTCATTCACAGCACTTTCAGATCGCTATCAGCGCACGTTTGTGTGTGACCGTGTCTCCCCACATCTGCATGTATCTGTGTGAGGTAGTGAAAATCTGTCTCGACCGCAAAGTCACTGATTAAAGCGCGATCCGCTTGTTTTGTTATTTCCTGTGTTTCTTCGTTTTGAAAAGCCGCCATGGCCAACTCTGTCTGGACTCGGTTCAGATCAGATTAAACAAAAGATGCTGCGGCTTCCAATTTCCTCGGCCTTGTTATGTGAACATGCTGCTTATTGCGTAAATGTGCTTGCCCTCAGATGATTTTGAATTTTGCCATGGAAGCATCAGCTGAATCAAATTTATCTTCAAATATATTATATGGTGGACTTGTACGCGGCAAGTTTTTTAAGAATGTGGATCTGTTGATTTTAAATATATTTATCGACTGCTTGGATATTTGTGCATGAAAGTTCAGACGATCCTGAGCTGAAGGAAGCCTCTCTGTGATTTACATTATCGCACAGGTGGAGCTCCGCTGCTCCACTGCTCCGCTGGGGTATTCCTGCATGCGTCTGCACATGTGGTCAGAAATAAAAGGGGGGACACTGTCTCTTGCTTTCCAAGTGAGACCGGATTGTTTCTCTTCCTCTCTTCCAACACAAACCAGGAGTTTCTGTTCCACATTTGGAATTGGCATTGGCCTGTATCTCTCCTGAGGTATTGAGGCCACGGTGACGGTGTAATATTAAACTAATACCTTCTTCTCTGGGGCCTTTGTTCTCCCACAGATGTGTGGTTTATAACCCGTGGATGCTGTGATGATGTGGGAGCTTTGTGCCGACCACCAACGCACCCTGGGCCATTGTTGTTACATTTTATTTCCACAAGCCATCTCATAATGTCTTGTCATACACAAGGTAATAGATCGGGTCAGGTGGATTAATTATCGTGGATTACGAGGACTTTTATATATCGCACGGTTTAACTGTTTGACTCATGCTGGCTCGTTCGTCTTCCTCTGGACCCTGCTGAGTAATCACCCTTGGGGGCAGGATGCTAACCTTAGCCGAAATGTAAACTTTTCTGCCCTATTGGACGATCTGGGACAGGAAAGGGCGCGCGCTTCCTGTCTTGGAGGCCCCAAGATGATGTCTGGTCTGCCTCCTTTACCCACATCAGTGCCAGGGACTGTATCTATGATGCTTGTCAAGTCAAGTGGATCCGGATTGAGGTAATGGCTAAAAAAAAAAGTCAAATTATCCACTGGGGGATTTTTTTCTGCCAACTTAACCAAACCCAACATCAATGTATCATCGCTCTCTGCCTTCTTCTCTTTCATCTGTGAAGTACATCCATGTTTTTAGTCTTGAACGCACCTGTAACCTCACTGGTTCACATGTCTGTTGAAATGGTTGGCTGCTCTTCCTGTAGCTGTAACAGAGCAGCTCCAAGGACATGGATGTTTAGTGTGACAGCTGTAGAAACAAGAGTGTGACTCCACTTAGCCCGTCTGCTTTTTTGTTTTCCCATTGAATCTGCCCCACAGGGGCTGCATGTGTGACGGCGCAAGAGTTTCTCCATGTGTGTCGGACTGCACCCGAGTGCAGTGAGTGTGGCTGTGAATAAACCGTTCACATCATGTCATAGGAGCAGTTCATTGTATGAGATTATGTAAAAACTCCCTGCTTCAGCCGGTCAAAATGTTTTACCTCTGAGTCACAAGCAGGAAAATGTGCAAGCTGCATCGTGTTTGAAGCTGTTGAGTGGAAAGTTTTAATTGAGGCCAGGCGAAGATTTAAACAAAGCTGAGCAATGGTTTCTCGAAGAGGCTCAGGTTTATAAGCGCTGGGTTTGTGTTGTAATGTTTGATTTACAGCACGTTGTCTCTCTCTGTCTCTTTCTCCCTCACAGTGCAAGCGTGGTGATAGGAGCTCCCAAGGCCAACACGATGCAGGTCAATGTTACAGAAGGAGGATCCGTGTTCTACTGTCCATGGAGCCTCGGCCAATCAGATTGTCACACCATTGAGTTTGATACAGAAGGTAAGCCTCATGTTTGACACAAAGACACATTTTGCATTCATGTGGTGTTGGGAAGTTGTGACATTTGGGGATTTTTGATGCCGCCGGCAAACAAAATGTTAAATTTAACTCTTATTGTGCTTAAGTACAAATCACATGCTTCCTTTGTGATTTTTGATCTAACTGATAAGGATCCAGTCTCATTACATGGTCATTTGAGAGGTTGAGGAACTGAATATGGTGTTTAAACCCTCTTGAAATGGCCGAGCTTTGTTTTCCACTGCTCTGGACACTTTTGAAGCCATCGGAGCATTTCCTTTCTGCTCCTTTTGTCAGCAGCAGACCTGGATCAGGCGTCAGTGTTCCACTCCACTGATCTGTTGTTGGCTACATGGCTCCTGGACTCGGGATGATCCTGTCTTCCTGTTTGTGTCTGCTTTTTGGGGATGAAAAGGATAATGGGCTGTTGAAGAGGGTTTTTTTGATGGGTACTCCTTCCTTCCTCCAGGTCGTGTTTGTCTTGCCGCTGCCCAGGAACTGTAGTGAGATAAGCAAGCAATAAACAAATATGTCAGACAAAGACTTGTCCCGGTGAAGCAGCTGACAAAAGGGATCGAGTTGAGTCGGATGTAGGTAAAGTAGTCTTGGGGAACATGAGGAAGCGCGTGAGGGTGTCTAATGAGTAGATTCTTATTTCATTGTGTTGACAGAGCGTCTGTCAGCCTGTTCGGAACAATAGTGAAGTGAGGAAAGGGGCTGTGTAGTAACTTGCTTTTAGATTGAACATGCCATGAAAACACACTCTTGCACGTAAGGGGACATTTACCACACCACTTTTGGCGTCTTTCCTGAGAAATCAAAAGTTAGCGTTGCGAAAGCCAACTTAGATTTACAATCCATAATGTACAGTCGGGAGGAATATTCCACTGAGTGTTTCACAAGCCTGGTTTAACAGCGTTCCTTCATTGGACTCCGCTGCCTGATACCTTTTTTTTGCACTGTTTTCCTTGCAACATAAAATGTGCTGCGCATCCCTCAGCGTTGGCTGGAGGCTACGGGGAGTGATGTCATCCGCGAGCACCGCGGTCTCACGGGGAAGGTCAGTCCCCCGGGTTGTCAGACGGCGTCCTTCATATTTTTTTAAAGAGCTTTGAAGCAGCTGATTAGAGTGCCAGAGCCGGTTCCGACATCTGGATCGTGGCAGAGGCGCCGTGCAGTGGAGGAACACTCAATACACGGACATCTGCATGCAAATGTGCCCGGTGCCAAACAGCTGTTAAATGGATGATATTTACTGCTGCGATTCATTTACTGTAGCTGTGACTGTTTTCTTTGCCAGTCCTGATAGTAAAAAAAAAAAAAAAAAAAAAAAAAAAAAAAAAAAAAACATTAAATGATGATGCTGGCGGTTACATATTTAAAAAACTTTTTCCACTATGGATGCTCATATAAACATAGAAATAGAGTACTGCAACATTACTTTTATCTTCCGCTGGAGTATCGGTATCTAATATTTTGCTAAAACAAAGTGGTGTCGTAGGTCTCAGTATCTGTTGGTGTGTTTGAGCTCTGACCCACAGGCCACAGACCCTCTTAATTAGCCGGTCTAATTGGGTCAAAGTGGCCAGAGGCCCCCTCCCATCCACTTCCTCTTCCATTGAGATAAGAGGCTGTCTATGGATCTGGGAGGAGGAGAGGGTAGCGAGGGCACTAGGGAGGGTGTGAGAGGGGCACATACAGGATGGGAGGATGGGAAGATGGGAGCGAGGGTAAGAAGGCCAGAGGGAGCGAGGGGAAGGAGAAACCAGAGCCCTGTTCCTCCGCTCTGTCCCCCTCTGGTCTCCTGCTGTCGGTACTCCCACAGGGGCGGCTGATGTGATGAGTGAATTTGGCCATTTGTCTCATTCCCCACTGACACACACAAAAATACACACACACTCACAGCGAGAGGCTCTAACCCCGCTAATGGCTGTCCTCTCACACACAGTTCAAAGGCGGGGGTTAGTGTATGGATGCAGTCCAGACCCCCACGCTCCTCTGCTGTGTCCCACGGGAAACCGGGCCATGGCACCGAGTCACATCAGCACGCAGCGCTGAGCGGCCTCCCAAAGGGACTTCCGTCAGACGACATGTTATCGTGGCCGGTCTCTGGCTTCCCCTCCTCTCTGTTTTCATCCCAGAGCATTTCACGTGACTCCAGCTGGCCGCCGTCAGACAACAAACAGAGCTTGTCAGCAGCCATTATAGTGACACGGAGCTAATGCGAGAACTAATGCTGCCACGTGAGACCTTTGCTTAGCTACTTTGGGCAATTACGTTAATTCACTTCCTTGATTTTATATAGTGAGATAACTGATCGTATAGTCACTCAGTATAAATCACAAGATGACGTTCTTGGTTGTGTTGGTGCAACGACTCAAACCGGCACAGTCATTGTTCAGCTTCTACTTTTCCCCGGCAGCTGTACATCGGCCTTATCCAAACAAAGACCCCTGAGTTAGGAAAATATTAAAAAAGGTGTATGCTGTAAGAGAAAGTATAGCTTGCTGCTAAGGTAGATTAGTTAAAGTAACAAGATTATAAGGAGCCGTTTGAAGCACTGCTCATGTTATTGCCTGTATGGCTAAAGCACTTGTTTTCACACATGGACTTAACACACTGGGGGCAGGGCCGGCTGCTGTTGGACCACGATGAATAACTTCAGCAGGAAAGCCCAGACATGGAGATTAAGCAGAAATACAGGCGGGTTATTAAAAAACTATAATCTCTCTGCTTACCGTCTTGGGGCGAGGGGAGGCCGAGCTCCCTGAAAGCAAAAGGAGGGTGAGCGTTGTTTGGACATGGCGACATGGGTGAGATAGTGTAAGAAAAATGAATAGGACGATGGAGATAATGTTGAAAATGAAAATAGGGAATGAGAGAGAGAAGTGTGTGCCTAAACAGAGATTACTGGGAGGTTGCTACGAGGAAGCTGAGGCCAGAGTGTGTATGTTTTCCTTGGACCCAAGCCTCTTCACTGTTTCCATAAAGACATGGAGCAGGCCCTTCACCCCCAGTTCCAGGCTGCCTAGTTGGCTGGGAATAAAGACCAGGGGCGGGCAGACATGGAGAGGGGAGGCCTGACGCACAGCCTGCTTTCTTCACATCAACGCAGGTCACGATCTCTTGCAGTATGTATCAGTCCCTGAGAGATGCTGCCCTGCTCTTTTGCAACACACCCGTGGTTTGATGAAGTCTAGAGGGGGGACGTGTGTGAGGACACAGCATACGGAAAGGTCAGGGAGGAGTGGTTCCTCAGACCTCACATTTGCACTTCCTTCACAAATGCCAACTGAAATGTCAGCCTTCGGTGCAGTGTGGGACGTAACATCCTTGCCAAATCAATTTGTTTGGATTTCGTTCTCCGTTGCCGCACAGATGTAACATCTGTCTTTCAATAAAGTTGCGTTTAAAACCTGACTCCTCGGACCATCTGTCACATCACCTGCTGCTGTCATACGGTCGAGGAGGGAGATCAGTGTGAGTGGCCAGGTGGTCAAACAGAGTAAAAGGTCAGCGAGGTTAAGCACGGCCATTCCAAACTCCCTATCTCCTTAACTGTGGCCGTGTAGCAAAGACCGTTCTGTTCGAATTCTCACTCTGATCTCTGCATGGAAAATCGTCAAACTGTTTTAAAGCCTGCTTTCTGCCAACTGTCCAGATGTTTCCAAGGACTCAGGGAGGGAAGGGAAAGCAGTATTAAGATACTGAGTGCACCAAGGAATGTATGTTTTATCATAACTTCTATAAATCACTCAGTGTCATTTTCCTTGTGTCTTTTTCCGCAGGGGATCGCTCTATTTCACTCCAGGACACAGAGCAACAGATTGATTTCAAGTCCCACCAATGGTTCGGCGCCACCGTGCGTTCCCACGGTGACACAATTCTGGTAAGGTGACCCTCTCGGAGATGATTCTGGGGGGTGGGAAGGGAAGGACTACTGCTGCTCTCCACTGTTAGGATAAGGACTCTCATTGAAGTCCGCCCGGCTGTGAGAAACGTCCTACCTGGACAGATGTCTCAGGAGGAATGTGTATGTTCCTCTGTAGAAAGTTGTATCTCACATTACTGTCTAGCTACTGTCCAGTTTTAATCAGTAAAAATGTTTAGTGCCCCCCCCCCCCACCGTGACATCAAAGTAGAGCTGCCGGTTGTTGAGCCTGATGGTCCTGGTTGTGACCTGGGTTGAGTTATCAGTTACCTTGCTCCAGATGTACCGCTGACCTCCGCCTGGGTGTCCTCCTGAGTTCATCAGGGTATTGTTGCAAGTGGAAAAACATCACCCACCTAAAAGCTCACCCTATTCATCACCACTTCTCCTCCCTCCCCCTTTCCACCCCTGTCTTTCTCCACTTCCTCCCTGTACCCCAGGCTTGTGCTCCTCTCTACTCTTGGCGGACTAAAAAAGACACCCCCCTCTCTGACGCGACAGGAACCTGCTACCTCTCGGTCCATAATTTCACCAAATTCGTGGAGTACGCTCCCTGTCGCACAGGTAACTTGTCACCGCTCTTTAAATCGGAGTGACTTTAATATCAGTGATTCTTCTTAATATTATGGACAGCTGTCCTCTACATAGGAGATCGATAAGGGAACATTTTTAATAATTCATGGGGCATTGCTTTTTTCAGAGATCAGTGATGCTGTGGGACAAGGCTACTGTCAGGGAGGATTCAGTGCCGACTTCACAAAGGTAAAAACCACCTTCCTGTTTGCGAACCACAAATGTCAGAGCCCTTCGGCTATCGTCTGCAACCACAGATACCCGGGACAATCTTGTCTTTTTTTTAATTAAGTAATTTACAGGATTTCTTTCCTTAATCTTTCAGGATGGCAAAGTGGTGTTGGGAGGGCCGGGCAGCTACTTCTGGCAAGGTAAGTCAGACATACTAACCAAGCATTTGAGAATCAGGAAATCCAATCATCGAAATCCATTTTATGTCTATTTTCATATTCATACTTTCTGTTTTCTGTTTTACTTTAGGTCAGGTGATTTCTGCAGCGAAGGAGGACATTGTCAAAGCTTACTACCCAGGTTATTTCATGCAATCTGTGGAGGGCCAGATTCAGACCAAACAGGTCCAGGCTAAACATGATGACAGCTACCAAGGTAAGAGAGGCAGACTAATACCTGCTGCTTTCATAATAAATGGATATTGACACGCTCCTCTATTTGTTTGCCGTGCAAGCTGAAGATGACCTCAGTGCTCCTTCTGCTTTTACAGGCTACTCTGTTGCTGTTGGGGAATTCAGCGGTGATCAAGTTGAAGGTATGTCCATAAAATATGAAGCTACATGGCAATGCAAATATTACAGTTGGAGTAAACACAAACTGAACTCATGTGCAATATTTTACATGATTATTGAGCTGGAAATGTCATCACTACAGGAATTCTCTGCTGTGTATTTTCCCTCCTAAATCTTCGCTTCATCTCTCTGTGCACCTCTCAGATTTTGTGGCTGGCGTTCCAAAAGGACTCATGCTTTATGGTTCGGTAAGAAAGCTTCATCATCACAGTTTTGGCTTTCATTTTGGTCCTTTTAGAGTGGGAGACCTGGGCTTTAGACTTGGGACCGTTGCAGGAAAATAAAAAAAAAGAAAGCAGCCTTATCACAGTGGGAATTATTTGTGCAGTGAATTCCATACCAGAGACTGTGCTTATATTAGAACCAATAAAAAGATGTTCACCACATGTGTCTGCTGTCCTGCAGGTGTGTATTCTGAATGGTACAGATCTGAAGGCCATGATTAACTACACTGGCGAGCAGGTGAGTCTGAGAACTCCTATCTTCACCCTCTTAAGAAATCTCCTTCATGCTTCACTCCCTTTGTATTTTCTTTGCTCAACTCCTCTCGAGAGCTCTTAATTTGTTGAGTCAGTTTAAGCAAAATTAATTTCCTTTGCATCGTTCTCTACACTTGATTTTGGTCTCTTTTGTGGTTTGCTCTAAAGCTCGGGTTTTTGGGGGAACGTGCAGATGTAATTTTGTACAAATGAGTCTGGGAATAGAGAAGCACTGAGCTTGTTTGAACAATCATGATTTACCCAGCTGAAAAAATAAAATCACGAGTGAATTTGTTGCAGTACACGCTGCTTCTACAATGTCCACACTATTTACAGTGACTTTCATGACAGAGCTGGAACAGACACAGAACCAAACTGGGGATAACCTGTAAAACCCATCAGGCCTTTTATGTTTCCTTCAAGCTTTGCTTTATCCTCGTAATGCGGAAAGCACGTTTGAAGATCACAGTACTGTGTCTATTCTTTATGATGTTAAAACCTTTTCATTTGCTAAAGTCAAGTAATCACCTTTGTTCACAGATGGGATCATATTTTGGCTATGCAGTGGCAGCGACTGACATCAACAGCGATGGGTGAGCCGTCCCTGCGCCTGTTTTTCTCACCCTCTCTCTGTATCTTTCTGAAACAACGAGTCGACTGAATCTAGATTGGATGCCACCAACAACTCATTACAACTGGAACCATGTGTCTGATCTAAAATGAGTTTGTGTGATCTTCCTTGTTTTCAGGATGGCTGACCTGCTGGTGGGAGCTCCCATGTTCATGGTCCGGGGCTCTGGCGGCCGGCTTGAAGAGATGGGCAGGGTCTACGTTTACCTGCAGCGTGATCCCCTGAACCTGGAGCTAAGCCTGCCTCACATCACTGGCACCCAGGCGTTTGGTAGATTCGGCAGCACCATTGCACCACTGGGAGACCTGAACCAGGATGGTTTCAATGGTAAGGATGAAGATAGTAGGGAGCTGATTGAATGAGCTGATTGAATTTATGAAATAAATTGAATTAGAATTTATAACTGCATGCATGTAAATCCATTTTTACTCAATGGAAATAGTTGGCCTTTTAACACGAGGCTGCTGTGGCTGAAGTTCAACCTGATTTAGCCATTATTATTTTTCCACAGTAGAAAGGTCTTAACAAAGATCTTTACATCTAAGTCATATGGTAGATCCATGAAAAATACATTTAAAAATCTAATACGTTTCCTGAACTTTTACAGACGTGGCCATTAGCTGTCCCTTTGGAGGAGACGACCAGCAGGGACTGGTCTATATCTTTAACGGATACTCAGAAGGACTCAGGGAAAAGCCATCTCAGGTGATCACTGGCCAGTGGGCTGCTGAAATGATTCCTGCCAGCTTTGGGTTCGCTCTCAGAGGTGCTAAAGACCTGGACATGAATGGATACCCTGGTGAGGGACTCTAGAAGTATTTTGTGACGATCATAGACTTTTTAAAAAACTATTTTTGTTTGTAAATGTTCTCATTCTGTTCTTTTGTCTCCCCAGATCTCATTGTTGGTGCTTTTGGCGTGAATAAAGCAGTTCTTTATAGGTATGTTGTTTTGAATATATACTGTACGTCAGTCACATCTGTCAATTTATCAGAAACACGACCACGACCACATGAGTGTGATAACAATAAGAATGCCCCAAAATGACAGAAAACGTCTTTGAGAAAAATTGATTTGACATGTATTTTGAATTTTTGGCCCATGTGCCATCCACTAACATGGAGGAGATGGGTTTTATGACCTATAAGGCTGCCAATTGGCTTCACACTTAGGATCTTCCTTCTTTATGCACACTTTATGTTTTTGACAGAGCTAGCTATTTTTTTCCCTTTGTCCCCAGTCTTTGTGCAAAACTAAGCTAACAATCTCTTTAACAGACACTGTCTCACTAATTCCTTTCAGGCAGGAAATATGGAAATTAACATGCATCCTTTTCGTTACCCACAGATCTCGCCCCATAGTGAACACCAGTGCCTCTCTGATAGTTTCCCCCACCATGATCAACCCTGAGGAGAAGAACTGCATTGTCACCAGCGGGAACACCAGCGTCCCTGTTTCCTGGTGAGTGTTTCAGCTCGCTCAGTACCCACCACTCTGTATTTGTTTTATCCAACTGCAAAAAGATGCACTTCCTGGCATCCTGGCAGGAAGCCCTGATAAGGAATAGCCCTCCATCGGTAGTCACGTTATTCATTTGCACCGGGCACAGCCCTTATCTGAACCTTTTCCAAAATGTCCTCATATCACAATGTTTCTGTTGAGGCGCAGAGAAAGAACCTGCTGAATAGCAGCATTGTAAGCCCCGTGTCTTTTGGCGTCTCTCAAATGTGCACAGTGTTTGATTCCAGAAGAGGGGAGAGGAAACAGATGACTGTTGCTCGCTGCTCAACATGGTTGACACTGTGCTCATGTGTCCGCTCCCCCCCCTCCTCCAGATCCTGATCCATAAAGGAAACTCTTGTATACACATGTGTCTTGATTATGCTACGTTGCCTGGTGATGAGGAGTTTTTGGTGGGGGTGCAGGGAGAGCAGGAGGGATAATGGGAGGGAGTGTGGGAGGGGAGGGGCTGTAAGGTTTTTCGGAGTTGCTTTGAATGAGATATTGTTTGGTGGTGGAACACAGCTGGGAAACATCAGGACACGTAGACTGTGTGAGCGTACGCACACAGCTGTGTAGAGACAGGCCGACACAGGAGTACACAAAGTTTTTTACTACTACTCAAATGGACTCCTTCTATCCTTTGTGTCTTTCTGTCTCGTTTTCCACTTCTCTTCCATTTCCTGGGTTTTTTCCTCAACACACCCCTGCTTTTGTTTTCCCAGTTCTTCCAGTTTTTGCTACTTAACTAGTAAAAGGACTAAGGGGTTGGGGGTTGCAGGCTTTTGGACAGTGTTGTGCGGCTGATGTCATGGGAGCGAGCTACAGGCTTATATAGACAGCCATTGACTGGTCAGCACTGTAACCCGAGTCGTTGCCCAATTTCACCCTTCTTAACTCTGCTATTCCTTTGTGTGTGGCGTGGTGGCCGGGTGGAAAACGGAGACGCGCCGATTTATCAGCCTGGCTCTGAGAAAGAACTCAGATGCCAGCATGTCTCCAAGCATTTGTCATTTCTTTCATATTATTCATTGTATTCCCATTACGCCCCGTGCCTTGTAACGTGAGCCATGTAAGGAGCTGACTCGAGAGAAGTAGAGCAGGAGAGAAAGTGGAGAGAACAAGCGAGGGCAAGTGAGGTGTCTTCTGTGTGCGAAATATTTATACTGAATCTCTGCCATCAACGAATATGCTTCCCTCATCAAGTCCTTGTCCCCTCTGTCCAAAACAGTGTCAACCTGAGTTTCTGCATATCTGCTGATGGGAAGCACCTACCAGACATTCTAGGTGAGCCAAGAAGTTTCCTACATTTGCTCTTGATTACAAGTGAAGAAACCTGTCAAATAATAGTAACAACAGCGAAAACACTGGTAATGTTTTGAATCCACAACAATCTGTAGGTTAAAGTGCTTTGGCAGCTGATGTGATTCCAAATATCTACTGCGATCCACCTTAAATGATCCAACCTTTCAGTTTCTTTCTCTATCAACCAGTCATCATGTCTAATGACTCCTTCCCCTATAACAAACAGTTCCCTGTGTGGTTATGTTAAAGTTACATTGACTACACTGTGAGTGCTTTAGGGTATTTATGGAGGTCAGAGTATTTATGGGGGTCTTTTCTTTTTTTTCTCTTTTTTTTTAAAGCTGTCATTAGGGTACTCCAGTACATTCATCATGCCATGAATGCTCATTTGTGTGTGTTATGTGTTCCAGATTTCCAGGTGGAGGTGCAGCTCGATAGTCATAAGCACAAGCAGAGGAGTGCAGTGAAGAGGGCTCTGTTCTTGGATTCCCAGCTGCCCTTGCTCCAGAGACGTGTGAGGGTTCGCCATGGCGAGCGTGTGTGCAACCAAACAAAGATCTACCTAAGGGTATGCCCCCTCTCTGGCTAATAAAAATCCTCAATGAATCTGATTTTACTTTCTGTGACGGAGCCTTGATTTCATTGTCATAATAAAATACAAATCAATGGCTGTCGTTGTTTTCCTGGGAAAGTTTTGCGCTACATTCTCTTCTGTGTTTCTGTGACTTCAGGATGAGAAAGACTTCAGGGATAAGCTTTCCTCCATTCATGTGGCCTTGAACTTCAGCCTGGATCCAAACGCTGCAGCCGACTCCCACGGTCTGCGTCCCATCCTGAACTATCAGACCACCAACGTTATCGAGCAGAAGGTACATTGACTGCTGCTGCACATCTTCTCTCCAGCACGTTTAACTAAACCCTGGAGTGATGCACAGAACTTGGATCTATACACACACATATATATATATAGGGGAACAGTGTTCCTCTGATAATGAACATGTGGTTCTGATGATAAGAATGTCCGCCATATTGAGTAATCACGTTTCACATCACCTGCCAGCGACTCACCAGCTCTCTCCTGTCCCTGATGAAAGAATGAGTCTGTTCTTTTAATCTCAACTCTGAACCACTCTGCTGGGACTAGGTCCAGAGTGTCTGGAAAGCTGTTTCCAAAATGAAAATGTGAGGCACATGTACAGTGCAGTGTTTCCCTGTACCAGCTCTCATTCCGCTTGGCTGCGTAGCGGTACGTAGGTGAGTCGTTCCAGAGCTGGGATGGTGGATATTTCAGGGTGGGGCACAGCCGGGCTATTTGCCCATCTGGTTGAAATCTTTTGGCAGCCAGCCGGGGTTCCTCAGGCTGCGAGTGGAGCTGGCTCAACATGAGGGCATCCTTTCAGCTGTGGCACAGCGTGCACCATATGTGAGCTCAGCAACAGCCACCGGCTCAGAGCATTTGGGAAACGGCAATCAGCAAAGTTTCACCTCCGCCCCCTTCTCAAATTTTCTCTCAATCCTGGTCTCTTTCTATCTCATTCCTGTTGGATCAGATGCCCTTCATAGATATCAAAGCTGTGGGGCCTCCAACAGATGTGTTTTTTTTTTTTTGCTGAACCAAGACCTTGAGATGAGCCGGAGCTAAAACATCAACGTTAAATTGCCCAAAAAGAGTCCAAACGTGATCTGGTATGTGTGTGAAAAACAGGAGTGGGAGAAATGTCAGGCTGCCAACATACTTCATTAATCTCCCTGTAGAAAAAGTGTGAATGTATCAGAGCGTAAACAGACCATAATACCACTGGCCTTGATCAGACACATGATGCCCTATTGATTTCCACATATGCTGTGAGAATCTGTGGCCAGCCATGTAACATTTCACTGACTCTGCCAAGGTCTTACTCTCTTCAAGCTGCAGTGAGAATGAGATATGGTTTATGTGCTCGACACAGCCTCGTTCTCTCTCAACGTGATGTATTCCACATGTTTCTATGAAGAGTTATGGCATCACGACGGCCTATTAATTGCCTTCATTCTCAGATCCTGAACGAAGAGATGCGTTCGTGCAAAAGCAGAAATGTTCTCGGTCGTTGTTTTTGAATTGGCTGAAACTTCCTCAATGCCACCATTGTTCTTAAAATAACAACATCTGACCAAATAAGTGTGACTTTGATTAATGGGCACACGCTTACTGGCACGTTAACATGTTGACTCCTCTGCCTGATGCTTGCCCTCATGTTGTCACATGTTGATATCAGTGGTGATGTTGTTTATCAACTGTGACGGGCCTGCGTATGTTGTTTTCTTGCCCTGTGCACACGTATGGACCGGGGTGCACATGTGGCCAAGTTCGCGTGGTGGTTTCCATGGTGTCCATAATTAGAGCCCCTGGTTGGTGTAATGACAAGGGGGGCGTTCGGCTCTCTTTAATCTCCTCCTCCATTTCTATTTATTATCCTCATCGTCATGAGCATCATCACACTGTGACAGTCTCAGCGGGATGCAATATATGCAATCCGCAGGGCCGTCCCCCGCCGCTGCTCTGCCACACGTCCAGCGGTCGTCCACTTATCCGCCAGTGTTTCTTTTTCTTTCTTGTCTTTCCCTCCACTGTAATCTCTGAACCTCCACATCTGATTTTCAGGTCAACAGAGATATCCTATGTCTCAGAAAGTTCCTCTAGGATGCAGGCTTCCCCTTTTCCATATGATCATACGCCGCTGTGGTTGGCTGGGTGGCGTAGCGTGTGGTGAAGGCGCGGTCTGCCACACGGTGCTGTGATGTGGGGCGCTGGAGAGAGCTAGCAGCTTTGCGCTCAGCTCAGTGCGTCCTCCAGCGAGCGCTCCGGGTCGGACGCCGTTCATCTTTCTCCTTCTCAAACAGAGTGTGAGCGAGTGTGTGTGTTTGTGCCGCGGACAGCTGGCTCAGGGTTCAGCGTGTCTGCGTCTGACATGACCTCACTGATTCTGTCATTGCCCCCCTGAGTCATGACATTGTATTTTTTGTGACGTGCAGGGAGGATGTATTGTAAATAAGAGGGAGTGCGGTGCAGGTGTGTGTTGTGGCTGGTTATCAGGAGGCCGGGGTGGAATGCATTAGTCATACCACATGTCGCATCTTGCTACACTCATCCTGTTGTCACCATTATGATTTATCATGTGTGTGTAATCTTTTTCACATGTGAATGGAGGATTTCTTCAGTCTGAACCCACTGTCTGGTCATCAGGGTCTGCAGCCTCTCTAAGCATTCATATCCCCCAATTTATTCTCCTAGGCTCAGATTCTGTTGGACTGCGGAGAAGACAATATCTGTGTCCCGGATTTGAAGCTGGCAGTTCACGGGTGAGTCTGTTCACTTCCTTATGTATTCCTATAAATCCCAGAGCATGTGATCACGGTGAACTCTTCACCTCTTCTGTACAGATGGGAGCGTGGAAATTGCTAAAGCATAAATACATCTGTTTTTGTTGTTCTGTTGCTTTGCTAAGTTTAGCGTGGCAGAGAGGGGCCGTTAAAAGCCACAGTGCTGCAGCAGTGTCACTCTGAAAACAGGACGCAGCTCTGCTCCACAGGTGTCACGACAAACAGTAACAGAGGAAAAGACAGGAGAGATGAAAAGGGATCCGTTTGTGAACTCTGTGAGCCGAGTCCCAACCTCGCCTCGCTTCTGAAGCCGTCAGGGGCGCTCTGCCCACCACACTTTGATTCAAGCAATCTGTTAGCATTTTTCTCAAAAATAACAGCCTCCCTGATACTCCCTTCTCTGCTCTGTCATTTCCATTTCACATTCCTATATTTATCTACCATCTGCCCCCATTTCTTTCAATGTATGTCTGATCCATCACACATAGAATAACCTGCTGTGAGCGTGCGTCTTTGTGCTGCACTCCATCCCAGAGATCGGGGATCAGGATTAGAGCAGTTCAAATAAAAGCTAGACGTTTCTGTGCTCTGGAGCAAATTATTGAAGCCTAATAGTTTTTTAGGGGAGTTGATGGGATGGGCATGATTTAATGGAATTTCAGTAGAAAAAAGTATCCATCATTCCTGCACTGTTGATTCTTCTATTCCACTGCCAAAGCACATAACCTTGCAGACCGAGCGTCCCTGTGGGAACCTTTTAGGTTTTGTGGTGTTTTCTAGTTTTCGGCCTCTGTTTGGTTTAAAAAGTGCATTGCCAGTGAGAATCAGACTAAGGTTGACTGTCAGGCCGGCGGAGGATCAGCTTCAGAAATCCTCTCTCTCTCCACTCTCCTGCTTTGCTTTATGAGCTGTAATTAAAAGCGTCTGTGTGGCGCTGCATATGGCATTTCTCATTGTTCCGAGCAGAGAGAGGTGCAGGCAGTGAGAGCAGGAAAGAAAAGGGAGGTGTTACACAGTCCTGTGCTCTGTTGTACAGCATGTATGACTTCATTACCACATCGGAAAAGTTTGAATTTAATTGGGAAAGCTTCGCGAAATGGATCCATTAGATAATTAGCACGGCTCTAAACAAAATAAAAAATAAACCTGAACATTACTAGTTTCATTATCAGTTTATTGCCGGCTACGACTGCCAGCAAACACAAACAAAGAATGTCATTGTTTCCTCTTCACGCAGCGTGTTCTTCTTTGTTTACCTGAGCAGCCCTGACACTATTTAACCTGATAATTGGCCACATTAGTGATCAGCTCTCTGTCTGTTTGGCTCCTCAGGGACAGGAAGGAAGTCTACCTGGGTGACGACAACTCGCTGACTTTGACCATTAACGCCAAGAACGAGGGCGAGGGAGGCGCATACGAGGCCGAGCTGTACGTGGTGCTGCCTCCTGAAGCTGACTACAGCGGAATTGCTCGCAATAATGAGGTGAGTAGAACTGCAAACAGAGTGAAAAAGTACAACTTCCAGGTCGTCTCTTGGGATTTTATTTTTCCTGTACTTTTTTCCACTGCTGTGGTTTGACCCACGTGTCCTCTTGGTTCCCAGAGCCTGACGCAGCTGACCTGCAGCTACGAGACAGAGAACCAGACTCGATACCTCAGCTGCGATTTGGGAAATCCAATGAAGTCTGGTACCAGTGTAAGAACCCCACTTCCTTATTGATTTAAGGCATCACATATTCTTGTGTATTTTGACTTGATTTGCGGTCAGACACTACATCATGGTTTCCTGCCTTGTTGGAAAAAGTTGTGTGTCATCCTCTGGCTGGGGGTGAACAACACAGGAAAAGTCAGCGTGTGTCAGGAAGTGTTGTGACACAAACTACAGACGCCATCTGTGCCCTCAGCCTCCCGCAGCGTTTCCCTTTTTAATGATGGAGTCATGAGCTGGCATGTGTTTAATAGGTCTGTAAAGGAAAACTGTCAAAGACGCGTTAACTGGGGGAGACAGACAGACATCCAATTAAGAAGAAACTGGTTGTTGTCACATAATCTGCTCAGAATTTAGTATTATTCATCTTATTTGATTGAAAAGGTAAAAGCAGAGAGATTGAATTAATAAATAATTGGTTTACTGCTGGAGAAAACACATTTCCTTTAAGTAGTGATGGCAAATATTACCAATACCTCACTTCTGATGATGACTGATAACGATCGATTCATAATAATAACTAATGTCTGATCTTCGTCTTTGCAGCTGTGGGCAGGTCTGCGCTTCACGGTGCCACGGCTGAAGGACACGCACAAAAACGTTCAGTTTGAGGTGCAGATTCGCAGGTACAGCTTGATGTGAACAACTCAGACACTGAGAGTTAATGGAACACGTGTGGATTCTGAATCCAGCCGTCCTGCTCTCTAAGACTCTTCAACGTTCTGAGCTAATCAGAATCTCTCTCTCTTTGTTTTCACAGTAAAAATGAGAATAATTCCCACAGTGAGGTTGTACCCTACAAGCTGGAGGTGGTTGTCCAAGCTGAAGTCATTCTGCAGGGGTGAGCTGAGGTTTAGGATTTCCTCATTTGAACTGCGGGAACCTTATTGAGTCTCTCGGGCCCCTTGATACATGTTGTCACACCTCCACTTTTCCTCTTCAGTGTGTCTCGACCAGATAAGGTCTTCTTCCCGCCGGCCAACTGGAAGGTGACCAAAAACTACGGGGTGGAGCAGGATGTTGGGCCTGCAGTGGAACATATCTATGAGGTAATCAGCCAACACTGTGCAGCGTCATTGGGTCTGAGCAGATTGTGTTGGAAAGCAGATCCTATACTGTTCATAAACTGAGTCAAGTTCCCAGGACAGCAGCGAAGAAAAACTACTCCAGTGTGATTTATTCTCAGGCTTCGCAAATCCACTTTCACCCTGGTGACGATAAACAGTGCTCTGCTTTAAGCAACCTATTTGTAGAGTAAAGGGATATGTCACAAATTAAAGTTTCAGCATGGGAGGTGGAAACTGCTGCTCACATGTTTAACTTTATTTGACCTATTTCCGATTTTCCAGTTGTTGAACAACGGGCCCAGTCGGATCAGCCACACCCTTCTCGAGCTGCGCTGCCCCCTCAGTGTCCAGGGCCACAATCTCCTTTACCCCCTGGAGTTCTCCACAGAAGGAAACATCAACTGCACCTCCGACAAGAACATGAACCACCTACACCTAAAAGTGAGTAAAGCCATTTTCAGACATTGAACTCCGCAGTTAAAGCATTTCTGAAGGCAGCTCAATATGCAGATGTGCACAAATGCTCACCTCTCAGGCCTCCCACTGATTCCCAGTCAGATGTATGATTAACGGTTGGATCCGCTCGCTGCTGGGTCCACACCCACCTCCTACTCCCGGCTTCAGGGCCCCACCCAGGACACTTACCCTACCACCGCTTTGAAGCTCCACATCTTCCCTTTGCTCTGCACAGCTTGATGAACACACTGACTGATCTTTGACAACCAGTGATGCGCCCCCTGACACCAAGTCATATCTTTAGGATTTTGTGGGCGGACCATCCAGTTGTTTGTGTTTACTTTTGAAGCTTGACAGATGTTGAGCAGGGCCACGAGTGGTCATCTGTCTTAACTAATGTTTTTTTCCCCCTGGTGAATTACTAAGTACACGAATTTCCAAGGGAATTCATGCGTAGCCCGGCTCACATGCTTCTGATTAATGACAAAAAGCCTCGGGGTCATGCTAGCATTAGGTCTTATATTGACAGGAAGGGAGGTGTGCTCCTCTGCCTGGTGTGTGTTGTCCTAATGGCTAATGCATTTTGCACTTTCTCTTCCTGTAGCTCCAGCGCACGTCAACAGAAACACCGATCCTGGCTCTGAAGGCCCCGGAGCACCGCGTGGAGAGGAGGGACGTCCACAGGAATCAGCTCGCTCATTTGACTAACCTGGTAAGATGCTCACAAAGGAACTGTCCCGGGCCAAATAAATACAGCATGAATGAATGGTGTCAGGCCAAAAGGTGAAGTCTAATGCAATAGGTGACTGATTGGAGACTTGAAAGTGCGGGAATAAGGAGCTTGAGTTTGCGGTTTAGGGTAAATGTTGTTATGCTGTTAAAACCATTTTGTGTCACTGACAGAGCAGATCGAGACTCAGAGTTAAACACAGAAGCAGAGGGTAGAAAAGATTTTAATGCAGTGCCTTAAATCTGCAAATCTGGACCTGACATTAACCCCGCACTTCCATGAGGCCCCCGGGATTGGCTAATTAGGTTATGATGTCATTAAAAGGGAGGGGTCAAAGGGCACAGGCTTGTCCCCTTGTGGTGATTAACATTAAACAGCCTTTAGTAGTGGTGGAGGGGAGGAGAGGCTGAGGAGACGTCGGACATGCAAGGCTTTTTGTCCGTGATGCTCTGGTGACTTCACAGGCTGCTCTCTAATTTTCGGCCCTGGGTGTTGTGGGGGCCCCCCGAGCCCTCGCACACTGGGGCCATTGATCAACCCACCTGCATGTCGCTGCTCCCTCGGCCTCCGCCTGTGGATACCTGCCTCCGCCAATGAAGTCTTTGTCCGCGCGCCCGTCGCTCCTAACCGTGCTCGTTTATCAAGCATGTCCAATGACACGTTAGCATGAAGGAGCCCATTCTCCTGCGTCCCCCGTGTCTGCACTTTTGTTTTTTACGCTCAGCGGGACAAGACATCCCCCTGGTCAAAGTGTCTCCTGATTAAAGTGTGTTAGTGTTTTGCAATGCTTGGGCGAAGCTGTCGGCCTATAGGTCATAGTATGAGACTTTAAAATGACCTGCTCAGGCTTTGAAGAGCTTAGCTGTGCAGGGAGAACAAAGACGTGGCTGTGATGGACTCTAAAAATGGAAAAATAATCATAATACTTATGTTTTTACAATTGCTGTTTTAGAGCAAGTGATATATTTTTAGTGCTGTGTGATAAAACCTTTGTAAATTGAAAGTACTTCAGAGTTTCCGGGCTGTGAAAAATATTGTCTCGCAGGTGTTTATCCTGCAGCAGGACACATGTCTTTTTTATCTCTTTCGTTCATCGGGACCATGTGATGGACCACCCGTAGTAAAACCTGCAGAGAATCTGCACCAAAGTCTGTTCATTAACAAATGATTCACACATGCAACTATAACCATGACAAGTGTGAAACCCACAAGTATTTGTTAATGGAATACCAACATTTATTACTGCATTATTACCAAATACAAAGGATTAACAACATATTTTTTACACAACCTGTCAGAGACGAGATGAGATTTCTCATGAGGGATTTATAATGCATTGGTTAATGTGTATTAATCCAACTTACATATATTTATATCTATGTAAGTATATTTCAGATAGTAAATATATTTTAAGTTATCAGTTGATCAGCGAATCATTTCCTTGCTTCAAAGTGGGAATCTAAACAGACTGTGTGCGTGCAGCAGCTGCGTCGTCAGGCCAGACTGTGATTTTATGTAGTTGTGGGAACAGCTTCCACCCCCAGAGCTCCAGATCTTGACCACGTAATTCCACCAGGGAGGATATGTGGGACTTTGGTCTGAGGCATCTTTGGCACTGGACCATGTTCCTGCCATTTCCACAGAAACCTTAGTGGCCCCAATGCCCTGGGGCGCGAGGGAGGTCTACCAGGAAGAAGTGGACTGATATGCTCCCTGACTGTCTGAATACCCTCATTAAGTCTGTCTAAGACCCAGCCTGAAGGAGCTGTGAGGGCACTCTCCCCTCTCCTCTCCTTCTGTGTTTGCCCAACTTGGTGTAATAAGTAAACTAATGCACTCCCGCAGGAAACCCGCTGAAACCTCTCAGTCTGGGGGTGGTCTGGCTACAGCCCCAGCTCTGCAACACAATGTGTGCACGTTTTAAAAACCTTTTAAACTTAACCAAGCTGCATTATGAGCACCTAATTAAGATTGTGTATTCTGCAGCCTTGAGAAAAATGGGCTGGTTTTAGTGGTTGGACAATAATGTGGAGAGTGGTG